CCCACCCCAGTTGGGGCTGCAGCTAGGCCCTTAAGCTCAGCCACTTTTCACTATGATTAATTCTTGAATGTTGAAAAGTTTTCCTCAAATGCCATCCGAAGAATCCCCCCCCCCCCTGCCCCTGAGATGAGCCAGTCAGGGTGTGATGTAGCAACGATGAAACACAACTTTCCTCTAGTTCCTAAATGCTTCCTGACCCTCGATCCCCTACCGGCTATAGCAGAGGATGTACACTGGTACAGATATGAACTGGAAACACAGGGAATCCAGGACAGATGAACCCCTCCCAGGACCAGTGGTGTGAGAGGCGATACTGGGAGGGTAGAGGGAGGGTTGGCTGGAAAGTGGGAACCGATTACAAGGATCGACATGTGACCTCCTCCCTGGGGGACAGACAACAGAAAAGTGGGTGAAGGGAGACATCAGACAGGGCAATATATGACAAAATAATAAACTATAAATTATCAAGTGTCCATGAGGGCGTGGGGAGTGGGACGAGGACCTGATGCCAGGGGCTTAGGTGGAGAGAAAATGTTTTGAGAATGATGAGGGCAATGAATGTACAAATGTGCTTTACACAATTGATGTGTGTATGGATTGTGTTAAGAGTTGTATGAGCCCCTAATAAAACTATTTAAAAAAAAACAAAACAAAAATTTCCCCCCTGGATCTAAAGGGGGGAAACGTTAAAGTAGGCCCGTTTAGGTTCAAGCATTAGCTGTTTACAAACTTGTAAGGTTGGCTGCTTGGTGACATATGGGTTTGGGAACAAGGTGAGTCCTCTGAGGTCTGGGGTCAGACTGCATGTGTTCAAATCCCAGCTCTGTGACTTTGGATCCTCCATCTATAACACAGGACCAATGAGAACAACCAGCCCTCAGGGTTGTTGTGAAGTTTCCATGAGTTCATTCAAATAAAGTCATTCATTCAGGGCTTCAGCACATGGTAAGGGCAGAATCGAAGCTAATATTAAACTGTGCCTTTCGACAGTCCTCAGAGACTAACTTTTCAGTCTGCTGCCGCAGTTTGAATGGAGACCTAGCCCAACTCCCATACCTTCACCCCTCCCTTCTCCACTCACTCTTGCCTCTCCCATCCCTTTCAGGATAGAGCTAAGAGCTAAGGTTGACGAATAAAACCAGGAATTAACAGGTGTATGTCTTGCATTTGGCTTTTCCAAATACTTTCCCACAATCCCACAGTGCTATGGAGTTAACAGCACAGTGATGATGATCCCCGTTTTAGAGAGGAGGAAACTGAGTCCCTACAAGGTAAAGTGGGCTATCCAGAATGCCCTGTTTCATTTGAAAGAGAACGCCAACAGCACTTAAAGGCAAGCCCCCCCACCATGGCCATTTCACCCGACCATGACGGCATCTCTTGTTAGCTGCTGACACGTCAATTCAGGCTCACAAGGGAGCCAGCAGCCTGCTCTGCCCTCCTCCTCCAAAGTACCCAACCGCACCGACCTTAGACCGGATGAGAGAGAAGGAAACACGTGATCAAAGAGGAAACCATCCATATAACTCTGAGGTAGGATAAACTATTTTGTCTGTAATATTCTGGTAGGATAACGAGTTTGAGGCTGGAAACAATGGAGAACATGGAGACCTCGTGTGAGCTACTCAAAACATTCCAGACCCAGGCTGAACCCAAAGTAAGACTCAAAAATATCTGGAATCTGTCTGAAGCCTTTGCTCAGTCCTCTGCACCTGGGCATACGCCCATGGGAAAGGTGGTCTTTAAGAGAAGTATGAGTAGACCTCTGACCTCTGGGGGCGGAGCCAGAGACCAGTGGGTGGGGATAGTGGATGCAGCAGGAGAGCGAAACGGGACAGCGTGACATTTGTTCTTCTGCTGGGCCCCAAGAACTAGGCCTTTGGAGAGGGGTCTTGGCATCTACTGACATTGAGAAGACTGGTTATAAAGGAAACACCTGAGGGGCAGGTGTAAAGACCAGGAAGAAAAGTAAGGAAAGGGGGGCTGAAGGATGAGTCTAGATAAAGAGCATGATGACAATTGTGCCTCAGGCCCAAGTACCGAATCAGAAAGTCCAAGGCCAGGGGTAGAGGAGTGTTGTTGCTAAAGCCCCTCCTCTCACAGGGTGAAAGCAATGCTGCTTCCATAGTCAGGTGATGGAGTGGGCCATTTCCCCTCCCTCTCGGAGGATGCCCTGGTGGTTCCAGCCCAAGGTGCCTGAAGGGAAGGCCTCGCCATGGAAAGCCCTCCTGGATTTTCAGCCCTGAGCACCGCAGAATCCATGTCCCACCTCAGCAGGAACCTCCACGTTCACACACGCAGCGGCACTCAGCAGCATTGAGAGTAGCTTGCAAGTGACCCCGTGGGCAGCTGACAGCCACGAGGCAAGCTGAGAATGGAGAAGCCACAGGAGAGGACCATCTCAGAGCACGTGAAACTTCTGGGGTTTCCCAGAAGCAACCAAAGGAAAGCTTCAAAGGGAAGCACTCATCTAACACATAGGTGGGGCCAGAAGCTAGGGGCCATCTGAGTTTTGACCGTTTATGAGACCTTTTTTTTTGCCCACGGGCTGGAGAAACCTGAGACACCATTTTCCAGCTGACAAGATAGTCTCAAGTACTCGGGCATTCGCGAACAAGCTTCATGCAGATGCAGCGTTGCTCTGGACACATTTCTAAATATAACTGTGCCGAGGAGCCGAGGCTGAGCTCCAGCAGGGCACGATGGGGCTTCATTTGTTCCATTTCTCTCGGGTGATGTTAGCCTGAAGAAGAGGAGAGGTGAAGCTGATGGAAGAAGGGGGAAGGGCTGGGGAGCAAACGAAAGGAAAACGACCGTGGTTCCCCAGTGCCATGGCAATCAGAAAAAACGGCTTTATTTGCAAGGTCTCTTCTTTCCCACATACACTTTCCAGATATGGGCTGTGATGTTTACAGCATTAATTTGATTTTCTTTTCTTTTTCAGGAGAATAAATTTGTCAGGGCTTTCCCCAAGCTGAGAGCAACCCTGCTGAGCATGTAGGACCAAATTGCACTGGGCCAGATGGGAGGGAGTCAGCGAGGCCAGAGAAGGAGGAGAAAGCTGTGTGCTCAGAGGCTGGCTGCTTAGGGGCCTGGAATGTGTTTCTCAACTTATGGCACCCTCTTTTTCCTGAGCCAATACCACTGGCGATTGGTGCAGCTTCAGGCAGCGCTCAGAGCCAACTTCTTATCTACAATACAACAGGGCTGCCAATTTGTCTGCCAATCTTTTTTTCTTTTCTTTTCTTTTCTTTTCTTTTGCCCTAAGAATCATTTTCTTCTTCCTAGAATCTGACCCAATAGTTAGGGTAATAGAGCAGCAAACTTGTGTCCTCAAGGAGAGCTACCAGCACATTTGAGTTTTCACCTCTGTCTTCTTCTTTTCATCTCCACTGCCACCACCCCAAGACAGAAACCTCAATGATTGTTCTAGGGGCTCATCACTGGCCTGTGACCTGCTTCCTCCATCCTGGAGACCAAGCTAGCTTCCCAGACCATGTTTCTGATTATGTCACTCACTTAACTCAATAAATGAATTGGTCCTGCTGAGATCTAACTTCCCATTCTCTTGATTCATGGTCTTTGTAGCCGGCATTATGATGTCAATCTTTTTGATGTGCTTCCTTGCTTATCGCCTAACTCTCTCTCCCACCCCCCATTGGAATGTGATTTTTCGTGTGAGCAGGGTTCTTATCTGGCTGTCCCCAAAACAGTGGCTGGCATAGCTGAGATAGTAGTCATTGAATGAAAGGACTCAATAAATCAAATTTTTATCAGCCACTATTGATTGCTTTTTTTTGTAAGTGAACTTTATTTACTTTTATGATTACAAATGCCATACATGCTTACTATAGATAATCTGGAAAGTACAGAGATGTAGAAAGAGGAAAATTTAAAAACATTCATAAGTCCACCACCTGAAGGCAAACACTGCTCATAATATATTCTAAATATCTATGCCTGTTTAGAGACCAAGACCCCTATCAAGAGTGCTGGCCGTGAAGCACACTAGCTAAGGGGAGTGAGGGAAATCAATAACTGAGGACATCACCCAGAGGTCAGAAAAGAGACTCAACACTTAGGGACACAACAAAGGCCATCAAGAGGTTAGAAACGGACAACAACACAAAGACAAGTTGGGTTAATTTAAGAATATGATGAGATGATGCTTGTTGAGAATTTAGCCCAGTAGCTGTCACATGGCACAGAATCAACAAATATTAACCATTACTAGTATTATTATTACTATGAGTCAAAAGGAATGGTTCAGGATGGAGACTATAAATAGGACAAGGGCCCTAGAGCGCCTGTTTCAGGGACTATGAATTATGGAGGGTGTCCTGATGATGCCTTGCTAAAAGCACTCGGCTGCTAACCACAAAATTGGTTACCGCCGGCCGCTCTGGGGAGAAGGCTGTCACAGTCTACTTCCATCAAGCACTACAGCCTTGAAAATCCTATGATGCAATTCTCCTCTGACACATAGGGCCACGATCAGCAAGAATAGACTCTACAACAACGGGTTTGGTTCAGTTATGCGTTGATGTATATAAGGAAAAATCTACTGAGTTAAAAAGTGTTGTATAGGAATGGGTATCACTCTCCTTATAGGCTCCCCTGCCAGGTGAAGTAGGGCCAAGGCCTCAAGTTTGCCTGATGACATATGGCAAGACACTTTGAGGTATTTTTGAGGTAGGACATGATTTCTCCTGCCCAGACTGCTCCTTGGACCAACGATTAAGACTGGCCTTGATGGTGATGGGAGTTCAGCACTTCATATACCATATGCTCGCATGTTCTGATCTCTGATTGTCAGGGCAGGTTACAGGCATGTGGAATGAAGGTTAAGGTCAAGCCAGCAGAGCGGCAGTTAGGACGGGGTGGGGATCTGGAGGGCGAAGGCAACAAGATTGACAATGTCACTGAATGGAATGAGTCCAGAAACAAGTCCTCAAGTTAGCAGCAGAGTCACATGTCACAAGAGAAGGGTCCAGCGACCATTACTTGTCACTGCGGGCCTTCGGAAGGCCTGTGCTCTGTCGAAGGTGGTCGTGAAGACCTTCTTGGGGGTCTCCATGTTCTTTCAGGTAGTAACAGCGCTTGGGAACATGCTGGTGCTGGTAGTAAGGAAGAAAGAAAAAAACACAGCAGCGGTAAGAAGCACATTTACGATGGCACTATGAACTCAGCTCATTGATCTTACCTGTTTAAAGGGTGACCAAAGACTAGACTAAAGCCAAATTCCCTAATAACCTGAGTCTATATCACATGACTATTACTGGGACCTAGGCCCCCAAATAAAACCCCCTTCCTCAGAACTGGACTTGGAGTAAGTGGCAATTCGGGGCTAAGCCCAGCTTATTCTTGCACAATCGGAAGGTGGAATCATCCCAGGCGCTCAGTCACTTGAGCACTCCTCAAAATGGGTAAGATCCACATCCTGACTGTGATCACCCCACGGTAGAATGGAGAGTCTTGGACCCTAATGTGTCCCCCATCATCTCCTCCTTATTCTAACCCATTTTTTTCCTACTGGAAAAAGTAAAGAAAAACTCAAGTGAATTCCCCCATCATTATTACCTCCTCAGTCTGCTGATGAGAGTTCAGCTCATTCTCCATTGCGTCCTCGTTATTCCGCTTACAGGCTGATGGCATATCCTGGCTCGAGTTACCCGGAGAAGCCTTCTCTTCAGCCAGCTGGCACTCCGTGTAGAGAGACCTGTCTATCAGCTCCTTTAGGCTGCCAGCCACCTTCAGGAAGATCCGGCCCATTTTGGTGGCAACAGCTTCGGAGAGGCCTTCCAGAAACCTGGTACGTAAAATGGCATCCGACCAAGACAAATGTCGGGCCAGGAGAAGGAAGTCAGTGGCGTACTGCCGGACTGACTTCTGGCCTTGTTTGGGATGGCAAAGAACAGCACTGAGGATGTCTACCTCAGAGAGAGAGTCATATAAGCCCTGCGATCTGGCCAGGAAAGACTTCTTTTCCCTCGAGATGGGGTTGCCTACCTCCATCTGCAAGATCGACCACCGCTCTGCGGCCCCCAGATGAAGAGACACCAGAAATGCCATTTTCTCAGAATCGCTCAGGAAACCCTTCATCTGCTTTTCCTCATCGATCTCCATCTCCTCTTCCTCCGGGCTTGAACCCCGGGCCGCTTCTTGCTCTTCCAAGAGGTAACAAAGGGCTGGGGTCAGCATTCCAAAGGATGGGACTTCCTTTGGTGGCGGGTTCCTCATGGCAGGGTTTGTGGCTGTGGCGCCAGGTGCAGACTTGCATCCAGAGGTGGCGGCGGCTGTCTCTCCAGAGTCTGTGGTTTGGGTTTCTGGTTTGGACATCGCTCGAGAGGCTTCCATTTGTGGTGTGGCTATTGCTCCCATGGCTGGGGCTCTCATTAGTGGCCTGGACGCCATGGCTGTCATCTGTGTCTTGGACATCTCTCCAGAGGTGGTGGCTTTCAGGAGTGGCACGGACATTGCGCCGGAAGCTGCGGCTCTCATTGGAACTGTGGACATCCCACCAGGAACTGTGTATGTTACTTGTGGTGTCAGCATCGATCCAGCCCTTGGGGCTCTGGTTTGCAGTGAGGACATTGTTCCCAGGATTGGGGACTGAACGAATGGCACAGACATTTCTCCAGAAGTCATGGTTGACATCAATGGCATGGGCATTGTTCCAGAGTCCGGGGTTCCCATTAGTGGCATGGACACCCCTCCAGAGACCATGGCTGGTGTTTGTGCCACGGACATATGGAAATCAGTGCCCATCCCTCCGGAAGCTGTGGGTGTCATTTGTGGTGTCGATATTGTACCAGCACCTGGGGGGTTGATCAGTAGCATGGGCATTCCTCCAGAGGCCATGCATGCCATCTGAGGTGCAGCCATCGTTCCTGAGGCTGTGGATCTCACTGGGGACATGGGCATCACTCCAGAGCCTGCGGCTCTCATTGGTGTCACGGACATCCTTCCAGGGGCTGTGGAGGTCATTTGTGGAGGGGACATCATTCCGTACACCGGGGATCTCAGAGATGTCGATATCTCTCCGGGAGCTGAGGCTCTGATCGGTGGTGGGGACATTTCTCCCGAGGCCGAGGCCGTCATTTGGGGAGCAGATAGCACTTCAGAGGCTGGGCCTCTAGGCAGGGTGGACATCCCTCCACCGGCCACGGATCTCATAAGCAAGGTAGACATCCCTCCCAAGTCCTGGGCACTCATTGGCTGATTAGAAACCTTTCCCGAGTTGGTGGTTCTCAACAGTGACCCGGGCGTTCCTCTAGGGGCTTGACCTCTCGTGAATGGCTTGGCCATACCTCTAGACTCGGTGGCTGTCATCTGAGGGGTGGGAATCACTCCCGAAGTTGGGGCTCTCAGAAGCGGCCTGGTCATCCCTCCAGAGGCCCCAGCTGTCATGTGTGGCGTGGACATCCCTCTAAAACCTGTCTCACTTACGAATGTGGTGGCTCTCTCTCCAGAAGCTGTGGTTGTCATTTGCTGTGTGAACAGGGCTCCGGCATCTTTGGGTGTCACTAGTGGCTTGGATGAGGTGCTAGAAGCTGGGGCTCTCACGTGGGGCACAGACATCGCTCCTGCAGCTGTGTCTCTTGGGACCACGGTGGACATCAGCTCCGAGGCTTTGGTTGACATGAGTGGAGTGGCCGTTGCTACAGAAGCTTGCATGTGTGGCGCAGAGTTCACCGCAGAGGCTGTGGCTCTCATCTGGGAAATGGACATCACTCCAGTGTCCAGGGCCCTCGATTGCTGTGTTGGCATGGATCCAGAGGCAGGGCCCATAAATTGCGGCAGAGTCATTATTTCAGGGGCTGTCGTGGTCACTAGCGGTGTGGCTCTTACTCCAGAAACCGAGACTCTGGCTGGGTGGGTGGAGATCGTTTCACTGATTGTGGCTTTTACAAACCCTGGGGAGACTGCTCCAGAAGCCTTGGCCGTGGTTGACTGTGTGGACATCACTCTAGAGGTGGTGGCTGGCATTTTCTCTGAGGGGATTCCGCAAGAGTTCGCAACTGTTATCAGTGGGGTAGACATTGCTCCCGAGGCTGGATCTGCCCTGAGCATGATAGACATATTTCCAGAGGTTGTGGTTCTCATGAGTGGCATGGACATTGCTCCCAAGTCTGAGACTCTCATCGGAGGGGTGGACATCAGTGCAGCAGCTGGTGTTCCCATTGGGAGAGTGGGCAGGATTTCGGGATTTTGATTTTGTGTGAACAGTGGAAATTGCACTCCAGAACTGGGGCCTGGTGGCAGCTGGGTTGGCATCCCTCCAGAGGTGACAGCAGTCATTAGCAACGGGGACACGGTTTCAGGGTCTTGGGCCGGTTTTAGTGACGTGGACAAGTCTCCAGCATCTGGGCCTGACAGTAGTGGTGCGGAAGTTGCTCCTGAGTCTGGAGTGGGTGCTAGCAGTGAAGATATTCCTCTTGAGTCTGGGTCTGACATTAATGAGGTGGGCATTCCACCAGGGTCTTGGGCACTCATTGGCTGGCTTGGCATTGATCCGGAACCCAGGGCTGACATGATCAGGGAGGATATTGCTTCCGAGTCTGTGCCCGACATTAGCAGGGATGATATCTCTCCAGAGGCTAGCGCAGTCATTAGCACTTTGGACATTGCTTCCGTGTCTTCGTCTGTGATTTGCAAAGGGGACATTGCTTCAGAGCCCGGGGTTGTGATTTGCTGGGCAGACATCCCTCCAGCATTTATATCTGGCATCAGCAGTGGAGATATTTCTCCAGGATCTGGAGCTAGCATTAATGGTGTGGACACTGCTTCTGAAGATGGGGTGCTCATCACACCAGAGGATGAAACTGGCATTGACAATGGTGACATCTCTGTAGAATCAGGTGCCGCCATCAGTTGAGTAGGCATCATTCCAAAGTCAGGCATTGTCATCAGCCCAGGGGACATTAACCCACAGTCTGGAGTGGATAGAAATGGAGAGAGGACTCCAGAATCCGAGGCTGGCATGAGCAACGGGGACAGTGGTCCAGAATCAGAGGTGGGCATTAGCAAGGGGGACAGTGTCCCAGAGTCCAAGGTTTGCATCAGTGGTGGAGACGGTGCTCCAGAGGTTGATGTCCCCAAGAAAGTAGAAGGCATGGTGTCCAAGCCTGAAGGTGTCATTAGCTGTGTGGATGTCCCTCCAGGGTCTGAGGTGGAAGTTGAGGCTCTCGGCAACTGGACAGGAGAGTGTAGGATTTGGACCTCTGCTTTGGTTTCTGCCACTGGCGGAGAGAAGGCTGTCCCCTTACTTGGGGGATCGGCATTCACTGCCCTCTGCATATTCTTGAATCGCAGTGAGTGTAAGGTCATGGATGTGTCTGCCATGAGACCAGGCGAGTGTAGAGAGATACCCTCAAATGATGCTATCAGAGGTCCTGCTGAAGTTCAAGCAGCACAGAAATCTGTTAAGAGGAAAGAAGTCAAAAGCCATTATCAAAGAGATTGGGAATTCGATGAATGATTTAGGGGAGAGATCCATTCTAAGGTTAGCAGCTATGTGGTCTTGGAGATGAGCCTACTCAGCGAAAAGAGCTGTGCAGCGATGAACTATTTTGAAGCGAGAGCAAATATCCCTTCTTCCTCTATCCTTTTCAAACCAATCCATCTAGTCACAACAGCACAACTTCTCCATGGATAAATGTTATAAATGTCAGCAACCCTAGAAACTAGGAGCCTGGGCAATCCTAGTTCAAATGAAGCAGCAGCACCACCTTCTGGTCAATGTCAAGACATGCAGACCCTTGGCCTATGTCCTTTCTCACCACAGCATCCACAAGCTGGCTAGGTCCTGACAGTGGGAATTGAAAAACTCTTGGCTTTGAGATAATCATACCTAAGACTCCCTGAGACTTGCCATAGTTTAGTCTCCATTTTACTACCTGATGTTCCTGAATATCCTCCTCGGGAAAATGAAGGTATTTGTCTGATCCATGACTGGAAGTAGCAGTCCCTGATTTGAAAACACTGTGTGTGTGTTTTAAAAAAATATGTATTATTACTATCAATAAAGACCATGGTGAGTGCCATTTATTGTGGGGTGGTGTGTTTTCAGGCTTTATCCTGTTTGCGTCTCACAACACCCTGCATAGAAGGATCCACACTGGCCAGCTTTCTCTGATTAGCAGTGTTGGAATTCAAATAGGGCCCCTGTAAAGTAACAGTAACAAACTCTGTGTGTTAAACTGCCCCCACTCCTCCTCCCAATAGACCATGGCTGACTTGAAGACCAATCTAAAAAAGGAAATATATTCAGCATTTCCTTAATAACAGGCGGGTGGGCAAGTCTGGAGCCTTACCCCTCTGATTCACTCCTATAAATGTCTCCAGAAGGGGTTCCTTGGCCCACAGCTTCAAACCAAGCACACATCCCCTAGCAACCTGTCCATGCCTAACTGGTTACTTGGGGGCCCAGTCACAAAAGGCATCCATCCGATGTCGTGGTTTGCCTTCATGATAATAGCACCACGTCAGCCACCAGCACTAATGTGTCTCCTAGCCGTGCTGCCCAGCAAGCCTTGTGCTGAGCACATCTGCTGTGCAATCCTTCCTACAACCACACTCAGATGCTTTCCCCCTTAGAACACCTGATGGCACGGTGGTTAAAGTACTCGGCTGCTCATCGACAGGTTGGCGGTGTGAACCCACCAGCTGCACCAGGGGAGAAAGATATGGCAGGCTTGCTTCGGTAAAGACTGACAGCTTTGACCATCCTTACGGACCTTTTGAAGTTGACTCACTGGCCAGTTGTGGGTGGGATTTCGTTATTGTACACATGAGGAAACGAAGGGCCAGAAAAGCTGGTAATAATTTACCAGCATCCGCATGGATTCGCAGGTCTATCTCACGCCAGAGCCTCCTACTGTTTACCTCTGGACTCTAATAATCCACTTGGTCTGCCCCCTCTCCCCCTTAGTTCGATCACATTCCCAAGACCCCACCCTCTATCTCCAGCCTGGACAACCCTGGCCTGGGTAGGGCGGGGTGGGGTGGAGGGGTAGGAAACAGGAAAAGAAAGAATAGCTTCTTGCTGACCCTTTAGTAACCCTAACACTGGGTTCAATGGCAAAGATCTGAGTCAAAAGCATACTCCCAGAAGTCCACCTCCCATCTTCCAAAACGCCCTGAACCCTGCCACTGTTTCCTACTAGGCAAAACTCAGGCAGCTCTTACCTTATCAGTCAGGGAGAAGAGGGAGGGAGTGTGCCTTGTACCCCTAGTTCTTTGAGGCTGGTCAATTTACTTATGCCCCATGCCCAGCCAGTTCATAAAAGTAAGACCCAACACGAGCAGCTGTTCACTGCAATCTCCCTTCGCTATCCCCTGCCACGCCCCCCTCCTGCCCGCCCCTCCAGCCAGCCTACCCGCCCACCCGCCTCACTGCTCTGGACTTGCTAGTGCTTGCTCTGTCTCTCTGGTCCCAGATTCCTGCTTCTATATAGGCTCTGACATTTGCCTCTGGCCACCTTTCATTTGACAGCCCTCCAGAAGTGCCTCTTGAACAGTTGGCCAGGACGACTCCACTCCTCTTTCCCCCTCACCCTCAGCAGTTCCATTGCCTACACGCTCACCCCACTATGCCAGTCTCTTGCTGTCCCACGGGACAAAGAGAGAGAAGCCCCACAACGAAGTAGAGGAGACTGACAGGGTCCTGGCTCAGGAGAGGAGACGTGCCCTCTGCAGTTGGCCAGACCCGAGAGCCCTGGGAGCTAGGCACTGTGACTGCTGTGACTTGACTCACTCCCAGGCAGCTGGTGGGTGAGAGCTGAGGGCCCTGGGAGGAGAGAGTGGGTGGGGCAGTGGTTAAAAGGTTCCAATAGGTTCAGGTACCAGGAGACCAGAAGTTCGGATGGTAAAGGGCAGTGGGCCCTCAGGGGCAAGCACCTTCATGGCACCCTTAAATAGTGATACGGTTTAAAACGTAAAGAGCCAGGATGCCCCAGTGTCAGAGACACGGCCACCAGTGTTGCCGCCACAGGGCCAGAACTCCACAGCAAGACTCCAGGGATTTCAGACCGCTGGCAAGAAAAGCACACCAGGCTTGAGCATACCAGGTGACCGCTGATTCAGAGAAACAGGGCCATGGCTTGCTTTCTAGAACTGGGGCACAGGGTCCGATTAGAACTAGCCAAAAGATTTCATTGACATCAACTCTTCCAAACTTTGGAATTGGTATCCTATCCAGCCCCGATGATGGACAAAGCCTTCAGGTGAAATGTCAGTCGCTGGTATTAGGGACTCAGAGTAGGGGTGGGGTCACAGGGGTCGGGGAGGGGGTTCCTTCAAGTCCTGACAAACCTTCCCACACGCATAATGAGCACCCAGCAATAACTGGGCACTGGGGCTAAGGACTGTGCAGTGTACCACTCAAACCTCACGGCCGCCCTTGTGAGATAGGCATTACCAGCGTCCCGTTCTACCAGTGGAGCAGCTAGGTGACCAAGGTCTCCGAGCTAGTAAAGGGCCAAGCCCAGCTCTGAACCTGGGTCAGCCTGGCTTGCAAGCCCAGACCCTGAGAATTGCCGCTGTCTGTAACCAGACAAGTGCTTACAGACATTCCAAGGGCCCTGCCCCCAGCGAGCACTCTTCCTCACAGCCCCTCCGCCACCAGGCAAGGAAATGTTCCTATTATTATCAGCGATGGATGAATCACTGTGGTAATCAGGACCCACATAGCAAGCGACATGGATCAAATTCTTCCCATAACCAAGGGAGGGCGCTAAGGGCTCCACAAACAGGATCCCCTTTGATCCTCGCAGCTAGCCTGGGAGCTAGGTCCTTTGAATCCCCAGGGTGCTGATAAGAAAACGGAGGTTCTATGGGAGGAACTGACACAGCCCCAAACACACAGCTCTGTTTGATTCCCCAGCTCACTAGAACGCACTATTACACCGAGTAAACTTCCCCTGATACTCGCCCTTTTTCTCGAGGCCTGCTGAGCCCAGCCAGCCCGTGACCAGCAGGAGCTCTGAGGACTAGGATTATTCGAAGACCAAGAAGTAGCATTTGTGTGGCTGTTGCCGGCAGACACAGCTCTGAACTCTTTCTTTCCACGAAGCTTCAGCAACACAACAACCCTCTGAGAGAGGTCTAATCATCACTTTGTTTTTCCAGAGAGGGACTAGAGCAGAGAGACCTGAACGAACCTTCCCTAGATCGCACAGTGAGGCAGCACTACTCCGGGTGGTAATCATCCACTTTTGTTACGTGGGCAGCCATATAAATGCCTGATCGTAAATGACCCTTCAATTAATGATCAGTTGAATATTGGTGACACCGTAGCAGCCGATACTGCCATTGGTGAAAATAACCTCCTAGTCAGGACGTAATGATTCTTCGAGAAGGAATGCACATATGTTTGCATCAGAAATAAAAGAAGAAGGAGAAAGTCTGGAAGGATTCCCAAGAGTGTTTTTCCTTTTCCTTAGCTATGTTTTCTCATTTGTCTCTAATAGATCCATATGACTCTGAGGAGAGCAAACCAACACCCCCAAGCGAACCTGAAACTCCTCTAGAGTCCCTTTCTTTGTCACGTGTCAGCCCTAAAATGGTCTCACCAGCCTGCCCTACTTCTCTTCTTGTGTGCAGTCCACTTATCTCCAAAGCCCCCTTCACCCCAGCCACCCTTCTCCCACCACACGCATAATGGTTGCATCACATGCAGTTTTGATCAGGAGCGACCACTAAAAATACAAAGAATCCTTCCACGTCTCCAATGACTTGCCTTGATTTTGCATTTTTTTAACAGCTGTCTTGCTTTTTGATCGACGTCTCGTGTTTAAGAATTGCACGAGTGATCCTACGAATCTAGCCTCCCTATAAAAACTTCCAAGAATCAGGATAACATCCTGAGACTCCACGAACACTCAGCCCTAGCCCCCTCCACCACCACCACCCCCCATCCATTGCTCTCTCTCTGTTAGCAGCAGGGTGTGTCTCCTTCCAAACTTTTTTAAGCTGCAACAACATTGGGGGTTCATGTCGTGCCGTGGCTTGCACAATCAAATGTGTGCAAAGATCTACAATGAGAACAACCATTTTGCACTGGGAACACCTGGATGCTAAGGTCTGGACCAGTGTCAGGGGTCCTCTTCAGCCCACTTCTAAAGAGGCTACAGAAAGAGGTGCATGTGTCCTCAGCCCTTTGGGGGCACAGGTGTCAGTTTCTATCAAAGCCAGCATCTCCACAAACACAGAAAGGAGAGGTCTGTCGTGGGAAGAACAGCCGAGAAATTGCTGCTTTCCTGTCTTCTCACCGGTCCCTCACATCCCACCCAGGCTGCACAGATCAATAAGGCTCTAGGAGATGTCAT